CTCACTCGCCTCTCTCACTTTATACAATTGATCTTTTTGTATATGTATAACAAAGCAGATTATACAACTGCTTTTTTTTGTTTATGTATAGCGAAATATACATATTTATGTTTGCTATGGAGCGCAATTATATAAACTTTGTTATAGCATACAAATATGAATTTTGTGTTTGCTATATGTGAAAGTTGCTCTATAAATAATCCATGTATTACAATCATCAATTTATATTTGTAACATTAAAGCTCGTGGAAGATGTGACTTATTATTATGAGTCGACTATATATTATATTCTCCATCTAATTTTATATATACTGATCCATGACATAAGATGCATTACGTAGGTTATGTATCGTCATTTTTTTTTTGTCTTTGTGCTTTTTCTTATTTTATCATTTCTAAATTAAAAATTAAAAGTAAGAAAATATCAAACCAATTACGTCTTGCCTTAAATCCACTAAACAATACAAAATAAAATGTAGGCAAATATTTATTTATTTATATTAAGTGTTTACACAAAATTAATCATAATAAGTTAATAACTAAACTATAAAAACTTAAGTTATCTCCGAACACAAACATAAGTAGCGGAGAATATTATAATATGTAAATATAAATTTATACCTCGTTAAAAAATTAAAAATCAAACACAAAATATCACCCGTGTGTCTCTTTCCAGAGAAGTCGACAAAGTTTATGTCCCATTGATGACCCAAAACATAAAAAGGAAACGTAGCTTATTTATTGAAGCATACCCCACAAAGAAAAAGAAAAGTTGTACTTGAAATTGATTTCCGTGCGTGTTCGTGTTTATATCGTAGGCACGTGCTTTCATTTTCTTTCTTAATTCATAATCCAAAAGTATATCAAAATTCTATAAAAACCACTTTCACAATATCAATTCACAACACTTCAAACACCAAGAAAATCTGTAGCTTGTTACAGGCTGACACGTGTCTAAAAATGAATAACAACTCTAGTTTGTACTCGTCAGATCTCAACCCACTAAGTGCAACAACACCTTCCGATGAGGAAGGATTAATACTATTATTAGCTTCAAGCCGGCCCAAGAAACGGGCCGGAAGGAAGAAGTTCAAGGAAACTCGCCACCCAGTTTATAGGGGAGTGAGGAGGAGGAATAACAACAAGTGGGTTTGCGAGCTACGTGAGCCTAGTCAACAAAAAAGAATATGGCTAGGGACTTACCCTACTCCTGAAATGGCGGCTCGAGCTCACGATGTTGCTGCATTAGCACTTAGAGGTAATCTAGCCACTCTGAACTTTGCTGACTCTCGTTGGCGGTTACCAGTGCCAGCATCAAAGGACCCCAAGGACATACGCCAAGCAGCCGTTATAGCCGCACAAGCTTTTTCTCAGGATACTGAAGTCGATTATATGAATGAGGAAGTTAATTCCAATACTACTGATGAGATTGATATTGCGAGGGTTAATAATGGGAGTAGTAGTGATTTTAGCGCGAAGGAATTGAGTATGGATATGGAGAACATTTTATCTTGTAACGGGGGAGAAGATAACTACATGTTAGAGACGGAAGGATGGCGAGAAAAGATGGCCGAGGAGCTTTTGTTTTCACCAACTCCACGTTTAGGTAGTTGTTTCAGTTGGGATGACGTGGAAACTAGCGACGTCGAGGTGTCTTTGTGGAGTTACAGTATTTGATACCAACTAGCCAGTTAATTACAATCTAGGAATAGCATTTTACAAAAAAGGAAAAAAAGAAAAGAAAAGGGAATTAATAGTCAACTAGAATGATGTTATTATGTACTCCCTCCGTCCCTATTTACTTGTCCATATTTCCTTTTTTGGTTGTCCCTATTTAGTTGTCCATTTTGACAAATCAAGAAAGGACAACATATTTTTTCCTATTATACCCTTATTTACACTTCTTGAAAATTGTAAAAGTGTATGTTGTTTCCCTCTAATTTATTTCACTTGAATTCAAATAAGTGGTTTGTAATTTTTGAAGTGAAAAGTTGTCATAAGAGTAAAAATTGTAACTTCACTGTGCTAATCATTGTTGCCTTAATCTGTGTGTCATTTCTAAAGTGGACAACTAAAAAGGGACGGAGGGAGTACATTGCAAATATATATATATATATATTCATGTTACTATTTCCATATAGCTGAGAACCAAAAAGTTAAATACAGATATATGTTTGTATACAAAGTAGAAGGTGAAATAAGCAATACGATCAATAAAAGTATCTAAAAACAAAATTTCCCTTACAATAGGTAATACCTAACAAAAACCATTTTGTTCTAATTATTCACCATATAATTATATTTGTAACATTAAAACTCGTGGTAGAGATGACTCAACTATTATAAGCTCATAAAAAAGTGTGCTTATAATATATAGATTCATGACATTATAAGCTCATCTTCTTGTTTTTCTTGTTTCTTACGTTTCAAGAAAAGTGTCATTACAAGAAAACAAGCTACTTCCTCCGTCCACTATTGTTTGTCAAGTATACTAAAAATAGATGTCCAAAATTAATTGTCAATTTAAACCATCAAGAACAATTAGTCACTTTTTTCCAATTATGTCCTTAATAATTACATAACTACTAGTTTCAAAAAGTTACAAGACTACTTTAATGTGAAAAAAGTTGTTTTTACAGTTTTCAAAAAGTACAAACCATTTTAATAATGATTGATAGTAGAATTATATTAGTCAAATTGCACCTTATATTAAATTTTTCTTAAAGATTGTGCATGTTCTTACCCTGACAACAATAGTGGACGGAGGGAGTATAACATTCGTCGGTAATTTCGAGTTAATCAATACTCCCTTTGTCCCTAATTACTTGTCCACTTTTGAATTGATACACCTATTAAGAAAACAATGATTGACATAGTGAGTTTACCATTTTATCTCTATTAATTATGAAGTGGATGAATTAAAAATTCAAGATTTTCAAAAGTTCAACCTTTTTCAAAACTAATTATTTGAGAGTATAATAGGTAAAAAAAAATTGTCTTTTCTTGATTTGTCAAAATGGACAAGTAAAAAGGAACGAGTAAAAAATGAAAATTGGACAAATAATTTGGGACAGTGAAAGTAATAATTAGCCATATTGTAAATAAATATTTACTTTCATCCGGTGTTTATACGAAACTAATCATAATAACTAAACCATCGCGTAGGTTTACTACATTCATAATTAACAAAATCAAATTAAGCAAATTTACACATCCCATATCATAAAAATTGCTCTTCAAATTTAATTTTTATCTTTTAACAATTAACTTAACTTGAAATTACATTGGTACATAACTTATGAAATATTATAATACGAAATTATAAACTTATACTATATAGTTAAAAGTTACCCCATTTGTCCAACAATAGTTATCTAATATTGATTTGACACACCTTAAGAAATAATAGATAATAGGGATAATACTACTATATTAATCTTTGAATATATTGAATTTAATGATTTGGGAAATGTATTAGATTTTGATTAATATTAAATAGCAAGGCTAAAATAGGATAAATTATCTCTTCATTATTTAAACTGAACAAGTATTGTTGATAACTATTTTTAATATAGTAAACAAATAAAAATAAACGGAGAAAGTATTTATCACTGAGGGACAAAAGTGCCCACGGAGTGACATAAGAATTGTGTGGTTCCCGTGTGCTCTTTCTCCTGGGAACTCAACAGTGTTTCTGTCCCATTGACCCAAAATTGGAAAGGGAAGTGCCACCCACGCCCACTCCCACCCCCCATACCCCACAATTTTTATGGAAAAATGAAAGTACCCCCACTTTTAATTTGGGAAGTGCTAATGGCCAAAAAATTTGGTCAAAATTTAGCCAGAGAATTAAAACAAATATAATATTTTTTTATTTTAAAACAAACTAATTCTTTTTTCATTTTTTAGTTAAAATATATTAAAATTAAAAGGATAAAAATGTTTAAAAAGATAAAATATCATTCTGACCAAATTCTGGCCAAAATTTTTTTTCCTTTTAATTTATAAGCATGTAATACTCCATCCGATCCGATTCACTTTATTTGTTTTACTTTTCTATTTAGTTCGTCTCAAAAAAACAGTCTCTTCCCATGTTAGTAACTATTTGATTCTAACTTTTCATGTAACATGCTTAAAACAACAAAAATAAAAATATTTTACATTCTATATGCTTTTAATTTATGATAGTAAAATTTTAAAAAAAAATTACTTTCTTATATTCGATAATAGGTAAATTCTCTTATATACAAAAGAGAATATGAGCATCTTGGAGTATTTAGTTATAGGCTTATAGCAGAGGACCCCACAAAGAAGAAGATAGAAGAAGAGTTGTTTCTTTCCGCGTCTATATCGTAGGTACGTGCTTTCACTTTCTTTCTTAATTCATAATCCAAAAGTATATCCAAAATCTATATAAACCACCGTCAAACTTTCACAAAATTCTAAACAAACAACTTGTACTCATATCACAACACACTTCAAAATCTAAGAAAATCAGTAGCTTGTTATAGACTGACACGTGTCTAAAATGAATAACGACTCGAGTTTGTACTCGTCAGATCTCAACCCATTAAGTGCAACAATAGCTTCCGATGAGGAAGGAATACTATTACTAGCTTCAAGCCGACCCAAGAAACGTGCAGGGAGGAAGAAGTTCAAGGAAACTCGCCACCCGATTTATAGGGGAGTGAGGAGGAGGAATAATAGCAAGTGGGTTTGCGAGCTACGTGAGCCTAGTCAACAGAAAAGAATATGGCTAGGGACTTACTCTACTCCTGAAATGGCGGCTCGAGCTCATGATGTTGCTGCATTAGCTCTTAGAGGTAATCTAGCCACTCTGAACTTTGCTGACTCTCGTTGGCGATTGCCAGTGCCCGCATCAAAGGACCCCAAGGACATACGACAGGCGGCAGTTATAGCCGCACAAGCTTTTTCTCAAGATACTGAATTAGTTGGAATCGACGGTATGATTGAGGAAATTAACTCCAGTACTATTGATGAAATAAAGTATCAAGAGATTGATATAACGAGGGCTAATAATGGGAGTAGTAGGGATTTTGGCGCGAAGGAATTGTGTATAGATATGGAGAACAATTTATGTTGTAATTGGGGAGAAGATAACGACATGTTGGAGATGGAAGGATGGCAAGAAAAGATGGCGGAGGGGCTTTTGTTTTCACCAACTCCACGTTTAGGTAGTTGTTTCAGCTGGGATGATGTAGAAAGTGAAGTTGAGGTGTCTTTGTGGAGTTATAGTATTTGATACTAACTAGCCAGTTAGTTACATGCTAGGAGTAGCATTTTACAAAAAGGAAAAACAAAAAAAAGAGGAATAGTCAACTAGGATGATGTTGTTAGTTACAATTGTACATTGCAAATATATATCTTCATCGAATCATGCATAATGTTATAATAAATCTCTCAAATTTAAGCTCCTAAGCCTTCAACACGGAGTAATGAATAATCGTAAACACCTTAGGTGCTACATGGAGGCTCAGTTCCGTCCCGTCCCACTATATACCGGGACGGATCGGAATGGACCGGAATGGAACGGGATGGGATAAAAGGGACGGCACATATAGCTATTTCAAAAAATAATTATTTTTTTTGAGTTATTTTGAATTACGAAAATACGAATGTTTTTTTTATTTTTCTAAGTTATATTAGTTTATAGTATTTAAGTTCTAAAATTTATAATAATTTTACTTAAGTTTTATTTTAAAGACATTTTTTAAATTTTACGTATATAAGTTTGTAAGTTAATTTTAATAAAGTTTTTTTTTTAGTTTTGTAGCTTATGTAGTTATGTTATAAGTTTTAAAGATTTGAATCCTTTTGAAAGTTTATAAGTTATACTTATAACTTGTAAGTTAAATAACATAAGTTTGTAATTTTAAAAAATTAAATAAACAAAAAAGAAATGCTAATAAAAGTAAATAATGACAAAAATATTATTTTTATTTTAATTAAAAATGATTTACCGGGACCGGAACGGAACCGGAATGAACCGGTACCGGTATACCCGTACCAAATCATGATACCGTTCCGTTCCGTGTACCTGTTCAATGTATCCCATCCTGTCCCGAATACTACCGGACCGGAATGGTACCGGTACAACCCGTTCCGGTGCCCAGCCTTAATCTTCATGTTACTATTTCCATATAGTCGAGACCAAAATTTGCGATACCAGTCAATAAGGACATACAACAATAACACACCCACTATAATCCCACAAGTGGGGTGTGGGGAGGTAGGATGTACGCAAACCTTATCTTTACCTTTGTGGGGACCAGTCAACAAGGACATGCCTCTTCGAATTCCTTTTGTTCTTTTCGACACATATTGAATTCATTTGTGTTGTAGTACATGCATCCAGCATAAGCATCCATCTCTTTTGTACAGCCTACACATAATCTAATGCATGTTTTAGATTTTTCAAAGTAGCATTAGCAACAAAAGATTACATATTACTTGTTCATTTGGAGCAAAAGTATTACTCAGCTTTCTTAGTGAAAAGAAGTGAAATTTGTTATCAATGCTAAAAGAGGCTTCAATGTGGTGGTTAGAGTGCAAGCACGTGGCGCGTAGATTAAAATCATAAAATTTCACTCCTAAATCAAAGGCTCTATACACCGTGAAACGCCCTGAACTTTCATTCTCATTCTCTCCAACCAAAAAAAGGAGAGTTTTTTCAAAAGTAAGGAGGAGATATCCACTATTTCAAGCTTTAAACTTGGTGAATAATCCTAGCTATCGTTTTCCTTCTCTACCTAAATCAGATTTAGCTCACTATACAGAAGTTGAACTCAGATAAGACACTCAAAGAGGAGTAGAAATTTCACTGCAACAACAAACTAAGCTGATAAAAAAAATCAAGTAGATTTACAAGAGAACTCATAATTATAAAGTATTTTCACCTTTTCAGGGCGAATCTTCACTTACAACAGAAAGCTCTAAACTTCCATTTCTCTCAAATAAAACTGAAGGCCAGGTCTTTTTTTTCTTTTTTTTTTTGTAAAAGGAGAAATCCACTATTTCAAGCTTCAACTTTGCACGTAAGATCAGACTGATCCTCTATGGTTCACTAAACAGGATTTGAACTCGTGATAAAAGACCTAAAATGGAGTACAAACTTCACTGTGACTACAACTAAACTGCTACAAAATCGAGTAGATTTTCGAATCAAATGAGATTTGATTCACTAGCCAGGATTTGAAATCGTGATAAGAAAGTTTAAAAAGAATACGTAACTCACTGTAAGCTACCATTTGGCCATAGATATTAAATCAGAAATTGAAGATTTATTCTCAAAATATCTATTTCGCCATGAAATTAAATAAATCTGATCTTCAAATATTTTCAGTTATTGGTAGAAATTTCACTTCTAACTCACAAAACTTCTCATCTCCCAACAAAACTTCAAAAACTCAAATTTCAACTTCAAAATCTACGGCCAAACGAGAGCTAACTATAACTAAGCTGCTGCAAATTTGTTCATAATTAAATTAGATTTGATTCACTAGCAAGGATTTGAACTCGTGATAAGTGACTCTAAAAAGGGGTACAAATTTCGTTCTAAGCTAGCAATTGACTATAGATTTTGGAGATTTGCTCTACATATCTTTTTGGCCATGAATTTGATAAATCTCTTCAAATATCTTCAGTTTTTAGACAAACTTTCACTTCCCACACAAAATTCATGTCCAAACGTAACTTCAAAAACTCAAATTTTCAAATTTCAACTTCAAAATCTATGATCCAACGGGAGCTAACTATAACTAAACTGCTACAAAATCGAGTAGATTTTCAAGTTAATGTGCAAATTTTCAACTTACAGGCTAAGGACACAACGATTGACTTCACGGCCTTTGCCGGTGCATTTTTCCGGATTCGGATCCAACTTTTCCCACCGGAGAAACGCCATATTTTCGCTCCGGCATCAACACCGCCGACGTCGGGATTTGGATTCCCTGTAGCACCACCGTACTCGCCATTCCCCAATCGTTTTCCTTCTTTGTAATTGGAAATCTTCAGTATTTATATTTGGGCTATTTACTGGGCCGTACTGAAGAATGTTGAGCTAACCTAGGCAAATAACCCATTTTTTAAGCTACTATATAAAATTGGAAAAATTACAGAAATCCCGCCTTTTAGTTTACTTATTATCATTATCCCCTATAAGTTTTACAAATCTCCAAAATCCCTTATATTCGCGCATCAGATTAGTGTATCATGTATAAAATGTACATCAGATTAGTGTATCATGTATAAAATGTACATCAGATTAGTGTATCATGTATAAAATGTACATCAGATTAGTGTATCATATTCCTCATTTTCACGCATCAGATTAGTGTATCTCGCGCATCAGATTAATGTATCAGCGCTTATATTATTGTATCCGTTTGAGGGATTTCTATAATTATAAACTTTTAAGGGATATATTGTAATTTTGCCTTAAAAGTATGTGATTTCTGTAATTTGCCCTATAAAATTTGACCCTTTTTTTAAAAAAAAATAGTCAGTCCAAAAGTGATGGTACATAAATACTACAACATATTCAATGTAATCTCATAAAAGAAGTTAGGAAGAATAGAGTGTACACAAATCCTACTCCTACCTCATGAAAGTAACAGTTTAAGGAATGGGAATCGAACTCAAGAGCAATGGGAAGAGAAGAAAGATGTTTTATAAAGAATTACTGATGAAGATTTCTTAAGAAACTAGACACATCTTAAGTGCCTACTTCCACCTTGTCTGTTTTTTCATCGAGTTACTCGTGTTTCATCTCAAATTTCATCTCCAATATACTTATATCATCCATTAACACTGAAATCAATATAGAACTTAATAGTCTAGCTTAGTCAAACTGTTATGAATCAGCCCCAGCCCAATAGGGATACCAACAAGGATATCACACAAATAGATATTGGGCCGAGTAAAAGCAATCGGGCCAGGCCTTCACAAAGGATTATATGGGATCCAGGCCCATTTACACTTTGTTAAAAAGGACCAGAAGTTAGAAGAAGGGTTATGCAATTATTATGTGAAGCCTTGGCTTTCTGCTCCTCTCATCACCTTTCTATGGTCGTGTATCTCATCCCCTTTCTGGTTACTTCTTTCTCAGTTTATCTCGCCTTAGTTAGTGTATTGTTACTTTGTTGTGCGTATT